TATCCCAATATACAACACAAGACACATCCATCAATACAACTATCCATCTCATTTCAAACTTACAATAAAATAAAACACACAGACACACATGCACACTGCTTAAGTTAAACAACAATGTGTCAACTTTTGTACAAGAGATCTTCAAGGTCTTCAACAGATATAAAGAAACAACTATATGATATCACATAAAAAAACTTAACTAGACATTTTGTTTTCAAACACAGAATCTAATTTATACACTTTAAGTATTTTTTGCATACAGGTAGATTTCAATTATTGATACATAGAAATTCCTTTTTTCTAAAAAATTACAAAAAAGGATTACAAAATTTTCTCTTCATTAGCATTTTAACTTCCATGTTTGAAGAAATCATGATAACTCAATTATTAAGATCACTGGCAACAAACATTAGAAATAGAAAGAATGCTGAAAAAATTACCACTCGGTCGACTTACAGATAAAACAGCATGGCTTACATATGGACTTACTAGACTGCATTCCTGATCATAAACTTCTGAAGTGTTTACATAATGTTTTATCTTTCCTCCACAACTGGGCACCTTTTGGGTGATATCTTTCTCTTCTGATTATATTTCTTTAAATGAGCTCATTTCAAATAAACAATCAATGAACATGGATTTATTTAAGAGTTTTTTCAACCCACAAAATGAATTACTAATGTACACCTTATAGTCAATGAATAGACAATGAATCATCTCAGTGTCAAAATGACAACATTTGATAAAACGGTATATTTCAATATATTTGTTAATCCAAAAAAAAGGTCATTCATATGAGTTGACCTTATGAAATTACAATAAAGATGTGCATTTGAATACTTGTACAGACAAAATATACATCAATTATGAAGTGAGGTTATAATAAAGCACAACACACAAAAAATGCTTCAGGAAGACTTAGTATTTTGGAAGAATGTAAGTAAATTTTTTGCTTAAAAAGATTACACATTTGAAATATAAGATCCAGTCAATTTTTTCATAACTTACCATTAACTGGGACATAGATTTGGCACTTGACATCATACTTAGTAAAGACAAATTCTTATAACATATTATTATTATATAAACTTCTCATAAAATCTTCAAATTTATTCAACAGAAAAATGATTATTTTAAGATTACTCGTACTGTACAAGTAACAGTGGTGTATATGATTTCATCTCTGGTATCCAAAAACTAATTTTTTACGAAAATATAAAAAAGACAACAAAAGTTCAAACTTGAGTTGAAAGTGTTTGTATTTATTAAATATCTAAACCATGGAATTATCTTAAAGCAAATAAGTACTTAGATATTTGGAGAGATAATAATTCAGAGAATGTACACTGAATATGGCAAACAAACATCAAACAATGTCACAACTTAAATAAATAAAAATATAATTTTAAACAATTTCCATTCCATTCATTGTTTTGTTTAAGTTTCCCTGGACAGAGAGAAATATGTTTGAAAATTCATAAGGCTTCCATTTTATACTGCCATCTTCACCAAAAAGGTACTCATCTTATCCTTGACAAGACTTCACATTAAAAGAAACATCAAGTATATATGGTAAATAGTTGCACAAATATGGTGCATATAATTTATTCATATTGATGGATTTATGATGATCACAAACTTTGTCAAAATTTACATTAATTTTCTTCTGAAATCAGAACTCAAATCTTAAATGTAATATGTAAAGTGGAAGCAGGTATAGCGTACAAAGCCAGTCAATTCCAAATTTCAGTGAATAACTGATTTGTATGGAAATGTAAAAGATAAAAATAAAACATCAATAAGTTTTATGATGTATATTATAAATTATAAGTACAAATATAAAAGACAAATAAAACATAAAAAAGAAAAATTAGAAAGAAAAAACAAAATAACACATTATACGGTACTGATGCGTATGTTCATCGAAGTACATAAATTTTACTACTTTTTAGTTTGTTTAGTTTGTTTATGCAGAATCATCAAAATACAATTAGATGAATAATTTGATAACGTAGTTCTAGTATTCAGTTTAGAAAAATTCATTTTGCATGTCATGTCTGATATATGCATACCAAACAAACACACAATATTAAAGCTGTTGTTAAAACATTCCTTCTGTTCATCAGAAAGAGTATTTTATTTCATATTTAAACAACAGTCTCATGAATCTGCTTGCGCTAAAAGAAACTTCTTTCTATATTACACACACCGATATGTTCACTTACTGACAGTTACAAACTAATAAAATTAGTAACAAACTGTGTAAAAAGATGTCAGTATTTAATTTTGTGAAATTACCTGACTATTAGTTCTTACTTTTCAGCAAAATAGGACACAACACACAACTGCCCAACAATTTATGGAAACATGCGACTGACCACTAGGTCATTTAAAAAAATAGTGTTAATCGACAACCAGTACAAAACAAAGCAAATTAACATCACAATTTCAACTATACAATGCTTTTCTTTTAAATATTTGTAATTCATACAAAAAATTAATCTTGTCCTTGATGTCCGAGTCAAACGTGACCAACACAGAGTTGAAGATATGTGATAAAATAATTTTAACAGGAGAATCACAAGGAAAGAAATCATAGCTTTATTGCTAAGTGAATTGAACTTAGTTGTCCTCAATAATTTAGGCAATCTTTTTCTCACTTGCATTTGCCATATTATGGAGTGTTTTAGATGCATTAATCGGTACATTTAGTTTACATGTGTCATGCAGATTCAATTACAATACCAAAGGAGTTGTGTGGAGTAAATATGAAGTAGATACTCAAATAAATATTTTCAATGTTATTTTCATTCCAGTGCTAGCAGGGCATTGAGTTAACAAAAATGTAGTGCAATAATCCTGAGAAATAGGAAGTATGTTCAGGCAATGAGTTAGGCCTACCAGAAAAGAATATTAGAGCTTTGGCACTGAACAACTTCAACTTACCATAAGCTTCACAAATACACAATAAATAAAATAGTTAAATTATTTCAATGACTAGATTGTCTAACAAATAAATATGTACTTTTGAAAGTAAAAACGAGTGAACATCCAAACCACAGTGCATTCTAATGAATGTTCCAATTCAATACAGTCTTATCATAAGAGTACACTTATACCCTTAAAACATATTTTGGACTGAAATTTAATGTAAGAAAATCTAACAGAACATAATCTGAAAATTAATAAACGAAATTTCAACAATTTGCAGATGGCACACCAGCATTCAAAATGTTCATAATTTGCCAAATTTCTTCAACTATTCAGTTTCTATCAATGTTTTTAATAATGGAATTTTGTACAACTATTACATTGTATACAGGAAATTTATTGGAGTTCATTTTCCTGAAATTAGTGTTTTACACACTGGTTCTTTTACTTCCAATGCACAGAAATGATTTACCATGTAGGCAAAAACATAAAGATAAATATGTGAGATAATTATTGAATAACACAATACTGATGGTGAATTTCTACCATCATCCATTTTTTTCTATAAAAACAACTGAGAATATAATATATCTGCATCTTTTCAGTCTTTGAAATTTCTTCATTGAAGTCTCTTTGGTATTTCACAAAAATTAATACAGAAACAAAATTTTGTATTGCAATGAAGTATGTAATTCTAATACAGTAATCACAACATTCAACATTGCACTTATTCAACATCAGAGATGGCCTCCACAAACTACAACTTTTATAAAACATTCACAAGTTGTATGAGTAATGACAAATAAATACAGTAAAAACCAAATATTCTCAAATCTGCCTGTTCATAATGTAACTCTTACTAACAAAACACCTGTAACGAGAAGTGAAGAACATTTCCCAGCTACTGCTACATCAATGAAAATTAGATTGGTCACTTTATGCACAGCAAACACTCATGGTTTGTCCTTGTCAAGACTAAAATGGGTGTAAAATAGTTTTCATACAAATGTCAGAGTCAAAAATTTAGAATATTGTACATATCATTTTAAATTTGTAGAATTATTTATTGTGCTTTGCACAATTTTATCTATCTTTGCAAATTATCTATGTGATTCAAAGGCATGTAATATTTAATACTTTTATGAATTACAGAAAACAAAAACAATCAAAAGAAACCTATTTCCATGAATTATTCTACTTCAAAACTCAATCATGACTCACTGCTTTCTGAACTACAAGTTCTTTAAACTATCGGCAGTGCTTGCAATTCAATACAAGATCACTACATTGAGCAATCTCAGAAGGCCTGAATTTTTTAAAAATCAAATATTACATCCTTTAAAACTACATGGCAATTTACAAGTACAAATGCAACAGTTCTGCAAATGTGCAGTATGCATAATATTGGTCTGCAATAGACCAAAAGTATGGCACTAAAAAAATACATTCCTCACTGTCTAGATTAAAAAATCATTATTCATAGCTAACCTGAAAACTTAATGTAGCATTCTGACTAAATAAGAAAGTGCTTGTGTGCATCTTGGCAATATGTCAGAAGAAATATTATTTCTTGTAACAATCTTCATTTCAAAATAACTTCTAATGTAGAAACTCATTTTCTCTTTGTCAGGTAAAAGTGAAGAAATCTTTTCACATGACAAGCTTTCACTGAAGTCATAATTGTCTGAGACAATAACATTTATATTATCGATGCATTTCACTCATTGTAAATAATATCACTAACTAGAAATATGGAACTACAAAAGTAGAAAGTTTTAGTATAAAACATAAGGAATTTATGTTATTTTCTATAAAATATTCACAACAAAAGAAATACATATTTTATAGCATTAGGAACCAAAGAAAATCAGTTTTTTCTCTTTTTTTGTAGTTTAGAGTTATTAATGAGGTCAATATTTCCTAATGTGGAGAAACACATTCCTCTGTTCATGATTAATGACAATAGAAACATGATATTTTTGGCACAACTTGTTCTGTACCCTTTATTTTATGATACTTCATGATAAAAGTACTTTTGCTTTAGGTTTGTATTTTACAAAAACACATTTTCACAGGGCAGAACTAGCTTCTTTCACTTCTTTACCCTTAACACCAGTTGTTGCAACTATTCCACCACCACCATTATTTTCTTTATCTTTATTTCGATCTTTTTTGGATTTCTTCCGCCTCTTGGAACCACTTCCCTTAGGCGAGCGTTCAAGCAGAAACAAAGCTTCATGAAAATCATCAGAACTCAAATTACTCTCCTGGACATGAAGTACTGAACTAAGAGCACCATCAGTGGAGGATTTAGGGAATCGAAACATTTCTCGTTCCCTTTCTGGTTCGCTAGCAGATTTGGATTTTGTTGGCGCACCTGTTCCTGAAGGAACATTGCTGTTGGCTGCATTTCCATTGCTTGCCGTCAAGATTGGAGAAGGAGCTCCAGACCTTGTGTGACAGGACCCAGCAGGAGATCCCGGAGGAGGAGGAAGCAGGGGTGGGGGTGGAGGAGAGACAGATACTGGAGTAGGAGCACTCTGAGGCTCTGGAGATGCTCCAGGCAATAAGCCTGCATTAAGAGAAATTGAGGAGGATCCTAATGTGGCATTTGAAGACACTGCATTCAGAGGAGGAGGGGGAGGTACAGTTAAACTTGAAGAGCGTGACTGACGCCCAGCAGATGTGTTTGCTACAGAGTTTGCTACAGCTAGAGCAGGTGACCGAGGTTCTGGTGTACGACTTATGGATACTCCACTAATGAACAAAGTAGGTGACTTTGGTATACCTGTCTCAGACTCGTATTCATTGGAACTATCAGTTTCCAGTTGATGACACACTGTTTCTGTTCCAGCACTGCCTGGATTTGGTGATTTACAAATGCGAATTCTCAAGCCAGATCCTGTTGCAGCTGCCGCCGCCGCTGCAGCAGCAGCAGCAGCAGCAGCAGCAGTAGCAGCAGCAGCAGCAGCAGCAGCGGCAGCAGCAGCACCCTTACCCCCAGATGCTTTAAATGCTTTGCGATGAGCCTCCAACAGACTTGTTCCAGTTGCTGTTTTGCCAGCAGTAGAAGATCCAACACCAGAAGCCACATTACCACAACTTCGGCTCTTTTCAGCAACAGCACTTCTGTTCACATCTTTGATGCCATGCAGAAACTCACTTTGGTGTTTTGAATTTGCACCACTAGATGGATCTTCTTCCATATTAGCCTTGCCTTCTTCGTCATCCTCTGTGGTGGTTCCAAGGATTCCACACACTTCCAGGTCTGCATTCAAAGAGTCTGATGTGGTTGTGGTGTCCTCCACGGATGACTGTCCTCCAAAGTAGAGACTGGTGCCGTCTTCAGAGGTGTTTGATGCCTCACCCCCTCCCACTGTGCCTCCAGAGGAACTCTGCTGATGAAGAAGGAGAAAGTGACCGCGACTACCGTTGGTCCCTGACCATTGGCGAGACCCACTGGAACACACTGTCGAAGCTGGGCAGGCAAGCATGCGTTTTACCAAATCTTCAGGTTTTTCTTCATGCTGACTGCTGTGATCAGAATCCAGGTGGTACCTTCAATAAAAAGTACTTGTAAGTATTCAGTAAGTGATAGTTACATATTTCTGACAAGGATTTCAAATGGCTAAATTCAAATATATTAAATGCAAAATAAAACATACCTGAAAATAAATTTAAAAAACAGCAATTTACAATAAAATTGACAATACTATCCTTCTCTATTTTTGCCAATTGTGTTTTTTTGAGATACAGAGCTTGATTGAGCAAGTGCCTTCTAAAAGCACTAACTATACCAGCTTACACTGAATGCACTAATGTGCCTATAATGTGGAAATTTGTTCATTACTGAGATCTCTTAAAAAACTTACTGTTGTCTTTTATTATAAACAAATTACTTGCATTATTGACCTTTCTACAGTTAAAAACATCACAAATGCATGGTCTGCAGGCAGCATAAACCCTGACTTCATGAAGTCTGCAAACTACTGGTATATATGTTCACCCTAGCAACATTAAATGTAAAATAAATGCAATTACAATTTTAATACGCTCATATACTAGTACTGTTATTACAGTGTGACTTATTAAAAATGAATCAAGAATCAGTATTTAATTTTTAGAATGAATGTAAATCCTCAATTAAAATATTTACTGTTAGAAAATGAAAAGAAATTTGAAAAACAACAATTTTGAAATAATTATATTTTACTAAAGAATGTCTAAAAGTGTTTAATTACTATCATAATATATAAGAAGCAAGAATGAGAAACTGTTTTATAAAAGGAATTAAATTAGATGATTTTGGTAATTTCCCTAACTGTAGTATATATCATTCCTTTAACACTGCAAAAGTATACTACATGCATGCTTATTGTCTATGTTTATCATAGGAGGGAATACTGTTTCAAAATTTCATTATAGACTCAGTACACACTTAAATGACTTTAATAAATTATTTACAAAAATGACACCATGGGACATACAGCACATACATTTTTACACAAGAAAATTACATTAATTATGAAAGAACAGGAAGAATAAGCAGAGCACGAAGAACAAGAGCAGGAAGTTCAAGAAGATCAGGAAGAACAAAAGAGCAGGATGAACAAGAAGAGCTGGAAGATCAAGAGGAACAAGAGCAGGAAGAGCCAAAAGAGCACGAGAGCAGGAGGAATAGGAAAAGTAACATGAGCAAGAAGAGCAGGGGGAGTAGGAAAAGTAAAAAGAGTAAGAAGAGCAGGAGTGGGGCAAAAGTTAAAAAGAGCAAGAGGAGCAGGGGAGTAGGAAAAGTAAAAAAGAGCCAAGAAGAGCAGGAGGAGTAGGAAAAGGTAAAAAAGAGCAAGAAGAGCAGGAGGAGTAGAAATAGTAAACAAGAGTAAGAAGAGCAGGGGGAGTAGGAAAAGTAAAAAGAGCAAGAAGAGCAGGGGGAGTAGGAAAAGTAAAAAGAGCAAGAAGAGCAGGAGGAGTGGGAAAGGTAAAAAGAGAAAGAAGGCAGGAGTAGGAAGAAGAGGAGAAAAAGCAGGAAAGAAAGAAAGGAAGAAAGAAAGAGAAGGCCAGAAAGAAAGAAAGAAAAAGAAGAGTAGGAACAGTCAAAAGAGCAGAATGATCAACATGGACAAGAAGAGAAAGAGCAAGAAAAACAAGAGCAGGAAGAACAAGAATCACGATTTTTTTAAATAGACTAATAAAGGAAAAATATAATAATAACAGCTTACTCCATTTCATGCATCACAAAATATAGAAAAAGATTTTAAACTACAACTATGTTAGCAACATGCTGGAATCATTCATACCTAGGTTCATCTGCACCCGTGCCAACACCTAACCTTGGCCCACGACGACCTCTGGTACACAAGTCCCCAGTAGAATGTGATCTTTTCAATAATCTTGCATCTACTTCCTCATAATCATCAACATCATTAAAACATCCATTTTCATGAATATCTCCAATTTCAAACCGTCCATCCTCAGCTACACAGGGTTTGAAGCCACAACCTCCAAGAAGTTCTTTGTCTGTGAGGGTTTTGCTCAGCCCACAACCCCAGACAGTTCCCACACCACTCACACTGCCATCTTCAGGAGAAGAGAACACATTGTTGCTGGCACAAGGACTCAAGTTCTTCAAATCAATATGTCGGCCAGCTAAACTTTTGAGGAAGTAGTCCACTGTGAGGTCTGCACTTGTCTTATGGTATGTAGATAAAGATGTATCTCGTCCAGTGCTGTCATCATCTTCTCCCACATCCACTGCTGAAGAAGGTGCAGGAAGCTCTTCATGACCAGTGCCAGAGATTGAATGTGTGCTCTCTCCAGATTGATTTTCTTGAAGAGATAATTGAATGGCTAATTTGAGCTGGTGGTCATCTCCAGCAGGTATAGTACCATCTGAAATCATACATCATGTAACACATGTGATGGAATTAGAGAACACCAGGAACACAAAATGTGGAACTCTATCACCTCTTTGCAATGTTTTAGAGAAGGTATGGATTAAAGTTATTGGAAATGGATATAAAATTAAATTGTTACCTATTGAAAAATACGTTACAAGGGTTAAACAACATAGAGAAACCAAGGGCCTGTATTAACCAAAACTGGGGGCCATTCAAATAACCAACTGCAGAAACATTTTACCATCCCTCACATGATAAAGAGGAGGTTCCAAAAAAGTTGAACTTGTTTGTGCAAATTCAGTTTTAAAGAAAATTGATCTGTTACCATTTTTTAGTCATTTTGCTCTATTTCTTGAGGAAATTTAAGTTAAAATATAGAGCTGTTAATCAGAATATTTTTGAAAATGATGTGTAAGCTTCTTATACATTTCTTCCAAAATTAAAAGATCTGTCTCAAATTTTCAGGGCCTCAAGTTGAGCCAGATTTACATCAGTTTTGGAAAACATCCTATGTGTGGTTTAGGCCAGGTCTGCCCATCAGGCCTCAGACAAGAACAAGCCCTGAGAATAGCTTTCAAGCTGAGGGAAAAGCAGAGCATGCTGGGTCTTCAGACACAAGTGTGTGTGAGTAGCCTTCAGACGAAAGGGCACGACAAGAAGCCTTAAGGTTTGGCACATGCCTCATGCATTGAAGACTCAATGACAAGTCTAAGTGAGGAGCCACTGAATTCAGCAGGACTAATTAAGGAGCTACTGTAGTTCAGAAGAGCCAGAAAACAGACAAGGTTTGGGGAAAAATAACTCGTTTTATGTAAGTGAACTTCAAATTGTGCATTTCTGAGGAAATCTATTTTTTAGAGAATTACATAAATTTTTCTGTACTATGAATAATGGAAACTAATATTTTCAGGCATTTCTAATTTTCAAAACGTTTATTTTATAACTTTGAAATACCATCTCCTCCCGTTCACACATTATCATAGTTTGTAACTGAACTCCATAGTAAAAGTTAAAATTGCTGCCATTGAGGAGCTTACTGATAAATTAATTGTTCTATTGATATCAGTTTATAAAATATCATTACAATGAATCAACACATTAACATGTTAAATTTGTAGATGAATCTGCTAAAAAAGACACAAAAGACAAAAACAAACAACAATGCTAAAAAAGAAACAAACCAAAGAACAGTAAATATATAATTTTCTTCATTTTGTCATGGTATAAGTAAATTTTTCAAAGCACAAGGCACCCCTACTGAGAATCAAACCCAAATCTCCTGGTTTACACCCAGTTGCTCTGATCACACAATGAAGCAAATGATTTTTCAGTTGTTTTTGATACAGCCTTCATGATAAAATTATAACACATGAAGCCTTACCTTGCAATTTCGCACTCCCACTTGTACTAGCCAGACTTGTGCCAGGAGGTCGCAGAAGACCATTCTCAGACAGAGATCCCTGTGAAGCATCATCTTCGGCTGCTCTTTGCCTCTTTTTCATTTCATCTTCAATCATCTGGAGACGGGACATTTCCAGAGCAATCACCAGATCCATATTGTAGTCAGCAGTTACATTGACTTGATACACTGTGAACAAACCAAAATTAGAAGTCACACCATGAGGATTCCAAAAATTGTTGTCCTGACTTTTCCTGCAGATAGAAAAGTTTTTGCTTTCTTTGGGGCTCTTTTTTATTGGCCCACCTGTTGTTTTGACTCCCCTTTCTTTCTGGGGTGTGATGATACATCCATGTTTCATCTACTATTACAAAACATCAGAGAAACCCACTGGGATTGTGTCCGAACAAGTCTAAATGCTGAGCAATGTGCATTTGAGTGAGATACATTTATTTAGATTAGATTATATTTATTTAGTCAAAAACAGTAAAAACTGTATATGAAGTACGGGGGAGAAGATAATCTGCGTGTGTTTTTTTGAGTTCCAGAATCCTTTCCCATCATTTTAATTATAAATAGTACAGGGATGGGTAAAAGTTAAAGATAAATAAATAATTAAAAATAAATTTTTTAAAAAGCGCAAGATTAACGACATTTGAAAAACTACACATTTTCGTTCCCGAGTTATAAAAATCTTATTTGCAATGGTAAACAAACTGCAAATTTTATTTTCACCATTGCTATCAAAATAGTTACTCGCCCTTACCTCCACTTCTAGCACTACAAGTAAAAGGGGAGTTCAACAAAACGTGTGCATAGTGAAGCTACAATTACATCCAGAAGCAAAACAAGGGGCCATCTCAGCATTTGCTCAATGTAACAGGGTCATGTGTTTCTAATCCATTGTCAAAAAATGTGACACCCATAGAGTAGAAAGCTTAATACTTAAAAACTTTGTGTACATGACCTGCTGAGTTCTTTCAAATTGGCTAGCTCACATATATTCAGTTGTCAATCATTGAGTACAGCATTGTGAATTTTTGTCACAATTTCACCCATCATCAAGGTTTTTGGGTGACCTGAGCAATCATCTTCAGAGAATGAATGGCCACCCTTGAATTTAGCAACCCTCTTTTTTGACAAAGGGGAACAAATCTTCAATATGCAACCTAACTCCTTTTTAATGTCCAGTGGAGTGAAACCTTCTAAAACAAAGTATTTTAACACCTCTCGTAACTCAGTTTTATTCATTTTACAAAAACTTTACACAATCACAGCAACAAAATAATTAAGCCAACATGTTTGAAACTTTGCAACACATCACTTCACGGATCATACATGACCAATATTACAGAATCTTTACTATCTTCACACCATCTCTGTGCCAGATTGAGAACTTTTATTCTGAATTCTCTTCTATGCTGAATGATACCAAAAATGTAAGAATGTAAAAGTCTAAATAGTTAAATAAATAAATATATCTTTTTTTTGTATTTCTATACAAACTCAAGTTATTAAAATAAACATTATTTCCTTGTTTGCAGAATGAACTACAAATTCTTGTGGTCAGAACGTCTATCTTTTATCAGCAAAGCTTCATTTTACTTATAGTATGTACTCTTGTTACTAGTCTTCCTATTTAAAATTGATTTTAACTTTATATGCAAGTCTTTCAATCTTACCTATTAGTCCTTTGTTGAAAATACTATTCTAACACTTACAATCCTCTGGAGCAAGACGAGCAGCTTGAGAGCAACGTAAACTGCAAAATTCATGCACAGCTGCAGTTCTTGGATTGCGAGCACGAGGGCGTCCACATCCTGCTCTGCTACATTCTCCCAGAAGACTCACAGCTAAAGCACGGCTCACTTCAGACTCCTTAAGGACAAAAAAATCACTGACAATATTACAGGTAATGGTACTTAGTTGTATCATGTCGTAAATGAGTCCAATTTTGCAATCCTATCAAAAACATTTTTTTAAAAATATTTAATAAATTTAATCGTTTATATCACATTCAGGCACTCAAATCATTTAAAATCTATGGGTAGAAATTTACAATGACTGGTCATCTAATTTGTGATATGTCATCATAATACAACCCAACTGCATTTTATAAGATTCTGTGATATTTCAATTTGTTAATGAAAATGTGGAACTATTTTGAATAACAAAAATATAAAGAGTTAAATAAGCATAAGTTTGTTCATCTTAAATACAGCACTATTTAATTTAAAGTAGCAACTAAAGGACACATCAGGTTTTATAAAAATCAAGAGGTGACAAACCAAAATGAAAGAATTTCTGTTACAGCATGCAATAATGGCACAAATTTAAATTCCATATAACTCGTGTTAACACAATACACATGCATCCATAGCAATATGTCCTTTATTCTAATAAATACAATCAGTATGAGACTGGCAGAAATATTTAGAGAATGAGCCACTAGATAATGTGTTCACATAGTGACATATTCATTATAGTGACAGTAAGAAGTTTTTAAATTCAATTTTCTTAATATTACTGAAACGTAATGTGTCAATGCTGCATGTCATGAGCAATATTTTCTGTGAACTTTTTCCATTACAATATAAAATTATTAAATTATCATTATTATAAATTAATTTTGCAATTAATAATTCCATTTACAATTTTGTAATTCATCTTACCTCCTCATCAGAATCAAAGTCAGGCCAATCATATATGGCACTCAAATTGGTATGTCGACCTCGAGAATCCTTGACCCATGGGTTATTAGGATCCAAGTCTTTCAGCGATGCTGCTATTGCATGAGACATCTGCTCCTGCACAACACACAATTAATTCATATTGATGAAAAATGTATTTGCATTCTTAAATACACAAAAATCTATATTACACAATTTTTAAACAAATCTCTTTTAATAAGTCTGCTGATGTCAATTATGATAATAAGTAATTCAAATATGATTTCAATTACAACTTCTAAACACTAATGGGTAATTTATTACACAACATCCTAACAGAAACACCCATGAGAGGTATGTTTTAATAATGGTTACTTTATATTTTCTGATCAAAATATCTGAGAAAAGAGTAAGTAGTGAAAGTGAAATAGAGATTGCACTAATAAACCCAAGACTTCATGCAATTCATAATATTCATGCATATACGTTATTTATATTAGTAGTTACATGTCATAAAGGCAACAATATTAAGTTCAATGTAAGTTTTCCAGACTACATAGTTGTAAAACAAACATTCAGCATCTGAAGGCACAAATTTATCTTTAGCATTTTATTCACAACCAATGTTAGTGATTTTGAGATTCACAAAGTAGAAATGGAAGGAAAACGTACATCGTCAGAAAGGTCAACACCTAACACACGTGAAGAGCGATGATTACGCACTTTACGTAGGGTGGGTGGTGTTTCTGGAGGAATAAGGCCCTTTGCTACAGCACGAACAAATTCATGGCGCTTTCGACGAGCCAACGCTGTGGTCTGAATAATCAAGGAGCGAGGAGTGCGCAGGTAAGGCCGAGCAACTTGCTCCGAGAGCTTCTCTGTGACCTCCTCTAATTCATTCTGAAATAAAAAAAACAGGGCAATGAAGATAAACTTGTGTATTTCAATAATTAACGTTACCAATATCAATGTTTCCAAAAATTAATTTATCTTTGAATACCTGCATGAATTCAAAAATTGTTTTGTTGTATCCATTATCTTCAAGGTAGTAGCCATAAACATAAGATCCACATAACACTCTTCGAGCCTTCAGAAGTTCACGTACCCCATCTTCTACAAACCGTGTACCCTTCTCAGCCAATTCTGCTAAACACATATACAAATGATGCAAACTTATTTCAATCCATCTACAAAAATGGAGGATGATTATAATGCATTTATCACTATAGTTATATTGCAATAATATTTAGAGTGCTTATTTAGTGCAAAATTTAAAACTACTACACAGTGCAAAACTGCAATAAATAAGCATCTCCTGAAGCTCACACTTCAGAAGTGTGAAGTGGATTTGACAAAAGTAGTGTATTCCATTAAATAAGAAAAAAATTCTTTTTATAAATTACAAAAATTATTTTTATCTGAGCTTATACTATTCACTATCTGAGCTTATACATTTCAAATTCTTAGGGCTTCAAATTTGTCAGATTAATCAAGGAATATCAATTTTGGAGAAAATTGTCTGTTTAGGTGCAATCATTACTCAACAGGTAGACAGATGGACAGACATTTTACCGTAAACCAATTATTTGGTATTTAGGATTCATAAAACAAGGATTCTGACTTCACAAAGAGTTAAAGGAAACAACTTTCTACATAAAGGAATTTCATAAAGGAAGATTTATCCCCTTTTGTGATAACGGAGTTTTCTGATGAAATATTGCTATTTTATGCAGCAGCATTACAATACTTTCTCTCTACTATGAAAGTATGAGAAAGGTGAGAAAGTTAAATAGTATTAATGTGTAAACATTTAAAAATTTAAATCAATTATGTAAAGATGCTTTAATGGGCAAAATCAATTCCCGTTTGTTTGTATTTTTTATCAATGAATGAATGGGTAACTTTATATGAAAGGTCATTAAAGCACAAATATCTAGAAAACTAAGTGATTCAGGACAAATCTCAAAAACTTCTAGGGCTTGTAGGGGGATTAACATAGACTGTTTTTGTCGATGAGCAATTTCATATAACGAAGTCACACATGCGACAATTGCCCGTATCTGGTAGACAACACATTATTCACTAGTATTTGGCAGTTCATGCTCTGCTGCTATCCATGAGATTTCATGTTATTGCCAATGTATTATGAGTTGTCTAGCAATCATGTCCAAGCTCACATGAGTAATTTTGTTATATTTCTCACCACAAATTCATTGGCAGAAAGTTATCTTCTTCGATTCCTCCACATGCCCTAGAAATTTGTTACAAATATTCTTGAACAGACTGTATTGCATCAACAATGACAACAATACAAAATAATAAGTTCACATTCAATTTGACTGGTCACGAACACTACAATAAATATAACAAAAATTAAGAAAATGTTAATCAAACGATTCATTATTTTCAATATTCTCTTCCATTTCTTGCAGGCTCTCGACTCTCTTAGAAATAACACTGAATATATTACTTCTTCTTTTATGTATATATTAAACAGTAAGATTAAAATTAAGTATCATCCAAGTAAATCAGCCAAGTCCAACAGTAATATTCTTTAAGTTCTAACATTTCACAATTTACTCCATTATCAGGCTACATTTTTCAAATTTATTTTATATTCCTTCTCCTTATTGGTACTGGCAAAGGCAACAGAAAGTTTCATACAAAACAAAACAAATAAATGTTAAATATCATATTAGTTTTTCCATTTAACTTACAGCTACAGTTCAAGAACATAAATTCACTCTCAAATAGATTAAGACTGAACAAAAAGCAAACTACAAATAGAAATTAGAAAATGTTTTAACTCAAACCACATTTATTTCACATAAATTAAATGTAACTGTAATTTGCCCCTTAACATTCTACAATTAGAAACATGTTCCATACACAACAAAAAGCTTATGTGTATTAGGGACCCAAAATACTGTTATACTTTATAATGTTAACAGAGTGAGACCATTATTTTATTAATTGTAATATTTTATTTCTTTTCTTAACAATTAACATTAGAATGCCTGGGATTCTGTACCTAACTACTCTCCAAGAGTGTCATTGCAACACCTTTGTATTTTCAGCTGCTCGCTGTGACAATAACTCAATATTTTATTGTGTTACTTATTTCTATTCGTTTCTTAATCATCTAGATTATTTCTAATCATTCACATTTCAAATAAAGTATTTAATATTTAAGGATTAAAATATTCAAAGCAAAATAATGAACTTGAAATTAAATACAATGTTCATAAAAGTAATTACCTAGATGATGAAGTGATAAGTTCTGATGTGTACTACATCAAAAATTTTCTTTACCCAGAACCCAAATTTGTAAATTCAACTGTACTATCAGCTGGCACAACCTACTCATCAACCTCTGCGAAAAATATTTTGAAAACTACATTCTACATAATAAATACCATATATCAAAATTTGGAGCAGCTAACACTTCCCTACAAGGAAAAATACAAATGAATCACGTTTAAAACAATCATATGATGCGCAATGTGTGTTGCATGTTTCTTATATTATTAAATCAAAGGCAGGTGGATAAATGAAATGAAGAATTGTAAAATCATAAGAAATCTTGCAATAACAATGCAGAGGTGATTAGTGAAAAGTGCAAGAACATGGTACAGCCCCAAGGCAAACAAACTTTCTGGCTTCAAAATGACACCCTCGGGTGGAATAGGTAAAATGGTTAGGAAAAATTCAAGTTTTGTAGATTAAAACAAATTCTTATACCTAATGAAACATTACACATCTAAAAGTGATGAAGATTTGTAAAAGGTGGCGATTTGAAGAGAAAATTAAAAATTTATTGCAAAATGAATTGCTGCAGATGCTGGCTGATATGACACCATTGAGCTCATTTTTGAGTTAAAGTATACTTGGTTTTGTACACTTTTGAATATGAGAGTCACTTAAAAAACAGCTAAAATCTTTGCTTGTTTCAAGAAGATAAAAATATCGCAGAAAATAATTCGTACTACCCTAATTAAAATTACAGAGGAAATTGAAGAAATATTTCTCACCAAACTCAAATTTATCGAATTACTTGAAGGACTAAACATGACAAGACCATACGTCTTAATCTGTTCGATAATTCAAGTATGTAAATCATTCAAATATTCGTTTTCAAATACATCTGTGTGGCTGAAATATTACCTACAGTTTTAGTAATGTACTGTTTCTTCACTTGTAAGTACAATTAACTTACAAATTGCTACACTATCTTTTCTAACAAATTTGTTTCTTTTTATTAACATTTTCTTCACAAAATTTATTTTATAAAATATTATTTAGAGTCCAGTTGTGATTTTAATTTCTGAGAACCATGAAAAACTTCTATTTGAACTTGACTTCTGAGAACTAATACTTTTAGATTCCTTTTAGCAGTAATTATCTTTAAGAAGAATTTATCAATTCTACAAACAATTTTATCAGTCTTCAGTTGGATTTATTGTCACAAAGTTTGGCTGAAGTTTACTTACAGGGAATCTATGCTCGATGCTTACTACTCTTTGGGCAACCTAACAATTGTAAGTTTCATACCTATGTTTTGCCCACCATGCAGCGGTTGAGGTACAGCACAACAATGGAAATGAACTGAATGAGGGTTGAAGAAATTGTGAAAAACAAAAAGAGAGGTTTAGAGCGATTTACTATCACCTAATCAAAATTGTAGTTCCAAATGTTTATAATTCTTTAGTTTCTAACAAAAATGTTTTGGATATACACAATATTTTATGAAAAATCGCATAGGCCGAAAAGTCGACCTTGTCATGAAACTGGACATGTATAGCAAAACACCACTGCATCTTACAAGTAATTTCTGTAATTAAAGCAGGATTTTTAAATAAAATATCTTTTTGCTGGAGGGTATTTTGTATAAAAGCTTACAAAAATATACTTGCTAGGTTGGTTAAATCAATCCACCCTTCACTTTCAAAATCCATAAGTTTGACACTTTGACAGAGGGTAAGCAAACATGGCATTGATTCCTGGTAAGTAAACTATATCCCAAAATTTTGTCAAACACAACACATACATGCAATGCAGAGCCACCTTAAATATCATGAGGGCCAATGACTATGGGAAGTGAGATGTACCACAATTCCAAAAATAGTACTTCTGTATGATTTTTTTCACGACTTACATTCTCCATCTAAAGAAACTTACTTAACACACTTGACTGATGACATCATGATTTTATGAATAGAATTATGATCTCTGTCAAGCTGAATGCGTACTACATAAGTTATCAGAAACACAAAATCTGACAACACAGACAACTATAAACCTATTAGAAAATATTTCTATTCGTGTAATATATTAATCAGTGGTGGCTCATGAACAAATGTTCAGGGTAGGCAGAACATTTTATGGACGGGGATGGGAGTCACCCCAAGCCCCCCGTGGATCCAATGTTATTTTATAATTTTTCTCAATTTATTCAAAACAATCATCCCATATTGATTGCATCACATTTCAAAGAAGAATTTAGCATTAAGCATTAAACAAATTTGTGGAGGAAGGTTTAAAAAGTAAATGGCCCTCTTCTAAAATTTTTTCAGGATATGCCAGTTCCAAAAAAAATATTTTTTTTTCTTTTTGCTTGATAGTCCAATGCATAACTGTACTCAACATAGGAGTATGTATTTATTCATAATGTGCTGTTTTCTACATCATTTAGTCCAGAAAATGATGTAACAAATGATGTGCACTATCTGCATCAATGTTGGCATAAAAATATATTTAAATCTAAAAAAAGTCAAGTGTTGCACAAATAATCCACATCATAGAAATTTAAAAACAAAGAGGGATAACAAATATTTTGTAAATAATGCCACTGTTGCTAAGGAATTAGTGCTGAAGTGAGGACAGTACATGGGATCACAGGTTCAAGTCTAGCATAAGCATGGGTGTTTTCATTCTAATTGAGTGGCATGATCATCTCTCCAATGTTATCCTATCATTCCTGCCCATCCCAGGTGGTGGAGGAGCTTGTGTGTGAGGCAAGTATCCTTTAAACCTGGTTTGATTCCTGCTGAGTTTGTGACATAGGTTACATTCCCACAACCTTGTGTACCACACACACGTATATTAACCCTAATGCTTAAGGCGACTACACACATTTGGCATTCACCAAGTTGCGAGCGACAGCTCAGCTCCCAAGTAGCCGATGTGCTCAATGAATGTTTGCTTCCTTTGAGGTGTGCAAACGACCAACACACGGTGGATAGGACGAGCACCGAATGTTCGTCGCTCAGCAAATAGCAAGCGACCCATCCACACTACATGGGAATCAGCGAGCGGTTGCTTGCTACTCGCCGAATATCAAATATGTGGGGCCACCTATACCTAATGCCTAGCCTGGACCAATAGCTGTATGAGTGAACTGTATTGTTGATGTAGAAATGAAGAAATAAAAGAATTCATCTCAGTCAATTTAACAGGCATAAATAACTTAATATTTTAGATATTTATGTGTGGTTGAGGAACTGCTTCCTAAACCTAGAATAAATGTACTGGCACTGAGATAAACTCAAGGGTATATTCAGAATACATGTAAAGGAACAGAACTGAGATAGGCCTAAGGACTACCTCAGCATGATGATTGGAGAGAGTGAGTGGCAGTAACAGCAGGGGTTCCTGGTAGGTCCCTCAGATGCCAATGGATGGTAGTTGGGAAGAAGAATTAGGAAAAACCAGATGTAGTCATGACCGAAAAGAGAGGAGGAATCTAAAAGTTTTAAAAATTCACTTCATAAACAACAATCATTTTCTCTGTTAACATGACAACAAAACACATGAACTGCACAACTAATGTGACTGGAAATCAAAGTTTCCCCTCTAGGCAGGCAGTAACAAAATTAACCAGCCTAAGGAGAATAAGCATGTGTCCGGTTTGTACAAATTGAGCTCCTGTTCTATGTTAATTACGGGACCTTTTCTCAAAACAAGGCATGAAGCTAGGCAATTTCAAAATGTGCCTACCCAGCAAGGCATGAGTTCATGCATAAAGAGAGGACAAAATATGGACCACACAGGCTTACATTATGAAATGTTTGAATTGAGAGTATAACTCATGCCACAATAATTAAATGTGCTTTTACATTTCTAGATGAACAATCCTTATGAAAACACTATGTCTTTTATAGTGAATTGTGTGTGAAATGTATTAAACTCTTACACATATACCAGAGTAGGCAATGCCTACTTTGCCTACCCCAAGGAGCCACCACTGTAATTTGTGAACATTGTAAAAACCTGTCATATGAAGAGTCAAGCAAATATTGAATTTTTACATTACAATTACATTACATTTACTTCTATCAAACCAAATTATGAATTGGATAAACAAAAAAGAAATATGCATTAGCAGCTTTGCTGCTACAACATAAATTCAATAACTGTTTTCACAAATATCTTCTAATATACTTTTTTCTTTATTAGATGGTTCAGTATAATTGTTTGTTTTTTAAATTGATAGAAATCTACAGGACCTATTAAATTGCCCTCAGCCAGGGTTTGGTAGGCCAATTGATTAAGGAAGCTCTGTGCAGAAGTGTAAGCAAGAGGGGTGATACCTTCCCCAGGACGGGTTCCTCCTCGACCCAGAGAGGATGCCAGAAGCTCCATCTTCTGACGTACATTTGTAAGCAAAGGCTCCTCCAGGTGCTGGGAATTTTCATGATTGCGGAAGCGGGTGTAATAGTGCAGAAAGCGGTTCAGTTCTTGTACTTGCTGGTTGCGCATGGTTGCTTCACTAATGAGAAGACCTTGCCTTTCATCTGCTTTGTGAACTGCTTCAAAACGATTACAGCGAAAATATCCTCCAGTTGCTGAACTATGTTTTTTCCAGTTTTCCAAACATACCCAGCAGAAATCAAATTTGCACTGAAAAGAATAATACATAAACAATTCGCACAAGATTTTAAAAATGTGTGGTTCTGTCATTTCGGTTTCTTTAGTATTTTGTTACTCACAAAATACTGAAAATAATTGAAATCTTTCAAAAACCAAATACACACCTTTCAAAAATTCCAGCAAGTTTCAATAAATATTTCTTATGTAAAAAATTTTAACAAAAATTGGAAAAACTTTCATCAATTTATGAACTTAATAACATTATTTTTCAAATACATTTGCATGACATACTGAGTTAGAGCTACTGGAGAAAGATAAAAACAAGGATAATTTGCATATTATTACTGACAGTTTGAAGATGTGCCATCAACAAAGATTTTTTTACACTGGAAATCCATATCAATAAAAATTTAAAAACTGAACAGAAGGCACTGAAATCACTATTCTATTTGAAGCTATTGGAATGCCATCTGGTTCAGCTTAGTGGCTTCCTTAATGAAGCCCAGTAGTTTGAGCTGAATTTGAGATTACATGCATATGGAAAACACTAATTTTCCAATAATAATTGAACAGAACACATCTTTCAATGTGGTAATAAGTTTGTTGTCCATGAAATCTAAACTGTTGATATCTTTGAAGATTTTATGTGATTGTACATGACTTCCTAAACCCAATATTAGTTAACACACCTGAGACCATGTGTAATGGTTAATGGTACTATATACAGAATCGCAGAACCAATCTTTTGACAAAGAGGGTATATTTTAAAAAGCCCCTTCGCATATGATCAGTTACATGTGGCCCTCTCCTATTGCAAACTAAAGGATAAGTAGGTTGTTGATAAGACTTGCTCAATGCAATTTTTTGTAGAAATGGCAAAATTTATAAAAAAATGAAACTTTTAAAATGAAAAACTTTGATTAAAATTTCTTATTGAAAACATATAAACACTGTGTACTTTTATTCATTATTAATGTAAGAGTATGATTTTCACCAGTCATTTTTGTTGGTCGATGTCTAGTAAACTTACAACTGAAGATGGGAATATATACTTCAACAGAAATCATTAAGAGTAGTAAAAAATTATGTAGTTCTGAGATTCTTTTCCAAATTTCAAACGATTTTTTCAAATAGTAAATCTAATTTGAAGGGGGGATATAAAAACCAAACTTTGCAAACTGAAGGAAAATTGTTGTCTAGGCTATCCTGCTTCATCAGTACACTCTGAAGAAGGCCACAATATGCTGGCCAAAACGTTAGCCACCATGACATTGACGCGACTCGTCACGGATAGCCTAGACAACATACACTCCGGCCGCAGAAGCCTACGCAACCATATGCAGAAAAATTATTTTGATATATCTGAATAGAAGAATTTGCCTTCAACGTAAAGATATATGCATATATTCTTTACTATACATGCATCTTAAAATTTAGATCATTTCAACTTCAAGCATTGCTAATTCTTAGCTATAGTGTAATAGAAATAATGGATATTGTTTATCACTTTCTAATCACACTAGCTCAATAATTTATTTCACATTCTTACATTAGATCCAAATATTCAGCAAATGTATTTTGGAATGAAATATTTAACTTTCTAAACATAACAGTTCTCTTTTTCTCCCTATGAACTTTACCTTGGAACATTTCATGTGATTGCAGCCTTCATTCTTCTGTATAGGGGATTTACAATTTGGACAAGGTTTTGAGTTCGTGACCAACCATAAACAATTAGCAGCATCTTCAGTCTCCACGCACGAAGCCTTGAGTTCTTCTGGCTTCACTTCAGAAATCTTCTTCTGCCACAGCTGCCACTGGTAGCATCCACAAGGGGCATGTGCTTCTCCCAAGCATTCCCTGAGAAATGATACAAAACAGGTACAAATATCAACTCACAGTCAAGTTGGAAAGCATTCATTAGAATTTATTGTATTTCTAATCAGAAACTATCCTCAGTCATCTAAACTTCACTCTACATTCTCCTTATTTTTTTTATCTACAGACGTGAGAACACTTCATATGGAAATAATCTACAAAAATACGAATTTACTTCAAAAATTCAAGATAGCATTTTGTAAATCAAAACTTATTGACCAAATGAATTCTTTAATTATTCACAATACTGATATATAAAAATTAATTATTTTTTGTAGCATAACTAAACATTTTAAAATAAGTTGTTACTGTGAGTTCATATACATTTTAAGCTGTTTTACAAATACTTTTTTCTTCAAAATCAAATTCATAATAAAATTCTAAACTAGTGAATGTATCTACAAAGAGGTTCAATTAAACTGACCAGCAAAAGAAATGTCCATTTCCACAGTCCACGGCATGTGATGTTGCAGGAGGCAGTGAAAGCTTCCCCGATGAACCAGGAGAAGAAGGTGGGTTATTAAGAAGATGAGAATTTATGGATGGCAACTGTTCTGTTTCAGGAAGGCGGACAGCTCTTCCACAACCAGGCATCGGGCACCATTTAATACTGCGATTGCTGTCTACAAAAGCCTGAAATACAAAGCAAAAAGTTATGTATTGTCACTCTAAATGTGTGAAAAAAAAAGGCGCAACATCCAAAAGCAAAAACACAAGAAATTTCAACTTTAATCAGAAGAGTTGGTTATGCATTATAAAATTAACCTGTGTTTAAAAAATTATCACGATTTTTTTCCCTTCCAACTTCTTGCTTGCATTGACAAATGTAAATAACAAAAAAATAGAGATTTTAGTCATTGTCCTTTTAACTTTAATGGTACAAAAAAGTGTTCATTGAAAAAAAATCAATCGACTAGGTTAACATGAATAAGAAATAAATGTAACATGAATCAGGAATAAACAAAATACTATTAAATAGGACTGTCTTACTGCAAAGATGGCAGCCATATTTTTCCATTTTAAATTCCAAGATATTTTTCATTTTTCTTGTTCACTACAGGTATCTTTATTAGGATGCCAGTTCCTAATCCTAAAAGCCATATCTGCAGTGAACAACTGATTTTCACGAATTGGTGATTAAGATGGAATGATATGAATACTGAAGAAAGCGGTGCAAAGAGAAGCAGGGGAAACAGGAGAAATGAAAAAACTGCTGCAAACAAGCTTCGTCCACAATAAATTTCACATGGATTGACCAAAAGTTGAATACTGGTACCTAGAGGTGGAAAAAGAGCAGTCTGACCACTACAGCACTACTAAAGATAGATTAATTCACATCAACACACCTTAATGTCAAATTGTAGATATCTGCGTGCCATATCAGGACTAACTAATCGTTCTATGAGTTCCACAGGCACAAGAATATGGCACTGATAAGCTGGACATAAGATGTGGTGTGCATCTCCATCTTGAATTTTTACTGTGAGGTAGCTTTCCCAACACGAGGTACAAAAGCGATGGCCACAAGACATGGCTACAGGTTGATCCCAGGCTGGCATTGCCAGGGTACATATCTCACACTACAAAACATACATTTAAATTAGAATACATACATCATTATCTATACAATTTTTTATCATACATCATTGCAATTATTTAAATATAAATTAAACTTCATAATTCAACTAGCAGTCCAAAATCTTTTTTATCTTGAACAAAGAAAATTATTTAAAAATGAAAGTGAAAATCTATTGACTACAATGAATCAGAAATAAGAGCAATGTGTGCAAAGGTGTTACAATACTACAAGGTGTGCAAAACTACAGTACACATATACAGTACACAGTACTACAACTATAAATAAATATAACAGTGCATATAATATTTAGTAATAAGTATGAGGGATGGGGTTGAAGTCATGGCAACTATTTTTTCCAAAAGAAATGTTATCAGATTTTACAATTTTATTTGTAGAGTGAAAGAAATACTGCAGTAGGTTGTGTTCACATCAACAGATGGCCCTGTGAGTGACTTTATTAGCATGGAAAGCAATATGAAATTAGTTGTCTAACTACTGTAGTGCGATATCAATGTAACATGTTTTGAGCAGCGGTCACAATCCTTAGGAGAAATGCTCAAGAATGTCACAGAGAATTGGAGGAAGCTCTTGGGAAAACTGCCCTTCCACATCAGCCATGAGATATGTAGGAGAGTTTCTGCGAGGTTGCATAGCAACCAGTGATTAGATGACTTGTGAGTGTGTGGACCAATGTGGCACTTGCATCTGCCTATTCAGGCCTTCAGAATGGGTATGTAATGCTTTTGTAGAGTTGTGCTATATGCTAGAGAGAGTATATGCTAATATGCTTTGGAACATGAAACCAGTACTGAGATTTCAAATACCTTAATAAATATTAGAATCACAATTCTAGTGAATCATTAAATGGCATGACTCGTGCCACCTTTATATTAATTTTATATTTAATTACTTTCTACACTATCATCAAACTAATCACAATAAAAATGAAAGTTCATTTTTGATTCTACATTATTTTAATAATCTTATATTCATTTGACTTTGTGGACACTGTTTGATTGATTAGATAAGTAGGACAATACATTGAAATTATTAGTTACGAAACAAACAATGAAATCTTAACACAAGAATTCCTTTATCATTTTATGTGCTAATATTTACTGTCTTTTTGATTTCCTAAAGCTGATTATTTTCTGAGAAAGTGTGAGTTGAATTTATTTTTTGCTATAGCACAGTACATATTTTATTTATTGATATAAAGAACAACGTACAAATTATAATTGTACTACTTTTTTTGTGTTTATAATATTTCTTTTTGTACCACAGAGAGGAACTTAGGGGAGTATCTCACAAATACATCCTGAAGGAAGTTTTTGAAGGAAATCCTAGGTTAACTTAAAAAATGTATTTTTTAATTCCATATTTATTAAACAAAAATAAATTATTAAAATCACAACACAAATAAAGGATTGTTCTAAAGCTGCAGTTCTGAGGAGGTAAATATTACTCACAACTGCGTCAGAGCCCCCAAGAGTACGAGAAGCAGGAGGAGCATTCAGAGCAGTGCCTCCGTCACTTGATGCTCGCCCACTGTTAGGAGGCGATGGATCTAAATGCTGCAAAGCTGATGCAGGAGGCTGCACTCCAGCTAGTTGGCAGCACTGCACAGGGTCTTTCATCCACTTCTCTAGCAGCGCTTCTCGAGACCACTCTACACACACACATATAAAGTCACTCTTCAATGATAATCACTTTCATTCCAACAAAATTTCAATCCTATTCCTTTGTATAATTTATAATGGAAACACAATTATTGAAATACTTAAACACACTATAATTTTATAACAACTGTTACCTATTTGTACCATGTGTAACTTTCTTAATCACTTTAAGGAGCAAAAGGCAGTTTTGTGGAGTTACCAATGATTAGGCTTACAGAAAATAGATCTAATATTTTGAAATTTCAATTACAATGTTATTTTATTCTTTTGATACATGATGCAATCAATTCTAAATGTACAGAAAGATAAGATATAAACAATTTTTTTTTTTTTTTTTTTGTAACACACATTCTTAATACATTGTATTAATTTATTTATTTATATCAAAATACAGCAGCGCTAAATTAATAGTACCTGCCTAAATTAATAAGGTCACGTATTTGTTGATTTCAGATTTTGTGTATTCAACAGTTGTAAAATTCAGATATGTATACCTACAGAAATATGCATTTTATCTCCTTGGATGGTCATGCTAGTACGTTAAACTAGCAGGCTGTTAATTTTTGGTAATTCTTTTGAAAACAGTTTCATGGTATGCATATTTGATTTCTGTTAGGTCATGAAGCAAGTAGGTCCTCAGTGGCTCCAAGGTTAGTGTGCTCACTTTCCACGGTGAAACCCTGCGTTCAATTCCCAGTTGCAGCAAAATAATAACTGTGCGCTTTCCTTATAAATGTCCCAGGACCTATTGCTGAGTGACAGTCACAAAGCCCACCCAAGGTAATGAAGTCTAGGATACTTGGTGAAGGAATGTCTTTGGGCTAACCACAGGAAACCCTTAACCAATACTTTCGAGGTTGGGTCACACCACTGGTCGGCTAAGGCCCATAGCGGGCAGTTGAGCCATAGGAAAGGACATGAAGCAACACTGTTAATTTCCAAAATAACATAAAAATATATCATTGTATACTTGGAAAATAACAAGGAACTTGACACAAAATCACATTTATAATAAATCCATCTCAAATATGAATGAATTAGAATCAATAAAGGTAAAAAATCTGCCACCGTAAAAGAAAAGCTATATTGCAGTCCTTGGAGTGAAGCAAGTTATTGTGTAACAGCCTAATAAACATAATCACAAAGCGAAGTAAGCCAGTTCAGAAGGCTGAGATCATTAAGGCCAATAGCATAGTGCCATAGCGAACTCAGACCGAAGGATCACAGGTTCAAGTCCCGCCTTAGGCATTGTTTGTGTTCATCCTTTTACCCCTTATCATCACCATATCATGTCATCTTCACAGTTACCACACTGTTAAATGCAATAATGGTTGCTAATAACCTAGATGTAGATGCGAACTTAAATAATTGAAAAAAGACAGTAAATTAATAAAACTATTTTTTAATACTTTTTTTTTATTCACACGTCTAGCAGGCTTAGTGATCAAGACAGCACTAGCTGTATAATAGATGAAAAGTAGCAATATTGTTATACAATCTACAATGTGTAACTTAATATCTTTGACATTCAGAAGTCTTCCTCTAATGAATATGAACACCACACATCTAGGACCATCCTGGGCATCATAATTTGATAATTAGCATATTAAAAAAATGGAAGATATAATATATTTTTTATGCAAATAAAATGTGAAATCAAAAATATATTTTGAAAACAAAAAATTTTTTTTTTATAATTGATATCGAAATTAAGGTAAAGTAATATTTGTACAAAATGGTCAATAGAAATGAAATTTTACAGAATAGACCTTGAAAGGATGAAAGGCACAGAGGTAGGTAATGAGCGTACTTTAGGTTTCAAATAAATATCATTAATTTTAAAATATATTTTCCTCAACACTTACCGTTATCTCGTAACAGAGCTTCAGCTGTAAACAAAGGGATATGGAGCATATCTGAGGTTTCCACAAGAAGTTGGTCTTTTGCTTCCTGAAGATCTTGAGTTCTCAGTCCTGAGTACACTTCTTCTTGGCCTGAAGGTCCATACAATTCTGCTTCGTTTATAGTATCCATGCTGTCAGCCTAAAAAATCATTTTAATAAAATGGTGGTTTCAAGATGGATTCAACTAATTCTAAAAGAAATATAACACACTGAAAATACCCAAAATTTTAATAGAGAACATACATTGAATTAAAGGTATAAATTTGTACATATCAATTTTAAATCATTGAAGATTTTATGATTTTTTTCTATCAAGCTGCAAAAATTAATATCAATGTCCTGGTACTTGAAAACTAATATATCCAATTCTTTTACAGTGAACTCACAAAGACCATTCTTGATTCCAGAAGTTGTGCAATATCATGATGATTATTTCGCATTGCCATGTCACAAGGAGTCAATTTGTCCAGATTTTCGGTAAACAGGGGTGAGCCATGAGCTAGCAGAAGTTCCACACATCGTTTCAAGCCAGACATTGCTGCACAATGCAGGGCTGTATTCCCTTTCTACAGATGTACAGGTTACGTCATTAGTTTACTATCATTTCCAGATCATCTTAGAATATTTCATATGGTTTAAATCATTCAAAACATACGAGTGAAATACCTCATTCAATCTTATTTTAAACAAAATGCATTAGTTATAAACCACAAATTTTCCATTAATCAGCCTTTGAAATGCAATAAAATTTAATAGAAGCCAAATTACAAAATACATTTCCTTACCACATCCTGTGCCTGTAAGTCAACACGCTCTCTGCCCCCAGAATTGAGTTCTACGCCACGCCACTGTAGCAATAGAGCTACACACGCTGCTCTCCTTTCTTGGGCAGAAAAAGACTTAGTCTGGCCCAGCTGGCATGCAGCATGCAATGATGACTCGTTGCAGCCATTCTTCTTGTTTGGGTTCCCTCCCAAATCATTGAGAAAAGTTCTGTAAATTCAATGTCATAATACATTATTCAATGCGATTTCAATTTAATAAATATTTTGTTTATGGTATCAGTAAGTCTATTGTCTCTAGCTTGATAAAAATGGAATCATTTTGGTCTTGCAAATAAATATGTACATTTGGATTAATTAATATTTACACATTGATTAAATTAAATAAGTAAAATTGAATATAAAAATGCCTGATATAAATATAATGAGGTATATCTCGGCCAACAACACCCAACTTAATTTCTTCATCCAGTTCTCTCTCCTTTTCTCTCAAATGCTGAAATGACACCTCCTTTTGCCTCTACTTAATACAGCTCTTCTTCCAAATCTTCTGCATCAAAGGTTCTGCTGTTTTTTTCACATAATTAAATCTCAAGAATACATTAATTCAGGAACTGAATTAGTATAATTTATGACCAAATATTTGAAACTTTTGGACCAATTTTATGAAAAGACACTTGAAAATTTTTGTCTCAATTCCTGTGAGTAAATAGAGACATTGGATTGACACATACATTCATAATTTGAGGTCGTATAAACAATAGAGATAAACACACACAATTTGACATTCTTTCAAATTTGTGAACTGAAACATGTGCAACCACACAAAAATAAATGTGTATGGGTGATAGTACCCAAAATTAATGTTTATATTAGTAAAATATTTGAATTATATAATTCACATCATTTTGATGGTTATTACATTATTAGATAAGTTTCATTTGCTGTTGAATTGTGTAAGAGTCAACATTCTTAAAGCACTTCTTGGAAGCTTTTTTTTAAGCTCAAATGATTGAAAGTGATTTGTAAATCCTTTCAGTCTGATGTTGCCATTGAGAGACAAAGAGAGGGTAAAGAGTATTTTAGAAACCAAGGTAAATAAACATTACACACGAAAATATTGAAGTTTTCTGAATACTTTAATTCAAATTAATATAAAAAATTCTCAGTCAGCAAAAGGAGAGAAATTATACCTATTAGATTAGTATTACTGCTTTCAGAGGGCAGAATTCCAAGAATATTACGTACATCAAAAGTTCAATTTTAATGCTCAAACTTAGTGCATTCTTCACCAATTTTGAACTTCTAATACATCCAAAAACTCTTCATCGTGGATTAGAGAATTAATTGAGTTCTTTATACAATAATGAACAACTAACACCACATAACTTACAAATATTACTTTTATAAAATTATTAAATTTTAATGATAATTACAGCACAGTGTAGAACACAGATACATCAAAATATTATACAATATTCAATGCATTGAAGTAGATTAAACATAATTTTACAATTTCAAATCACACATGTTATTATAAGTTTTCTTAAATAAAGTGTCTGAATATCAAACACTGATCGTTAGTTTCCTGAATTATTAATTACATAAAATTGAAATATCAATGTGATTAATACACTTACTACTTTTGTTTGGTTACAATATTCACTCACATGTTGTCTTTTTCATACAATGAAAAAATTATAATACTGGAATATCAAACTGTTCATTAAATTTTGAAGAAAATAAATGTTACTAAGCATAATTTTAATTTAATCTTAAATCAAAATCTCACCAATAAACATATATGCATAAATAATCAATAGTTATTTTTTAACTTTCATTTTTTTATAATTTTCTACATACATCAACGAAAATTTCAAGTCTAAAAAAGAGTAAAAAGAATCTTAAAAGAATTACTAAAATATTCTAATTAAAATTAAAGTAATTCAAATCAGAGTACCTTAAAAGATGCTTCATTCCATGCTTTGCAGCATAATGAAGAGCTGTATTATGTTGGTGGCTGTCTCCGTAACTCAGATTCGGGTCTAAATTTTTTCGCAATTCAGGTGAACTTTGAAACACCTAATTAAAAAAAAAAAAATTGTAAATGAGTTTCAAATCAAGAAAGATCATGACAGATGACAAAAATGCATAGTGCCTACCTGCATTGCAGCAAATTCATCTCCATGCTGCAGATATTTCTTAAATTTTGATGATGAACTGCCCATGCTGGCAACAAAGGGCAGCTTTGGGTCATATGATGAAATGTCATCTCAAATTGCCCTTAAACATAATAAAATTAGATATATATGATGATACTTATTTAATGGAAACATTTAAAAAAAGAAAAAAGAAGTCATGAAGTTCACACACTTATCACTTAACTTTTGATTTCGGAACAAATATATTTGGAGATTCATATTCATAGAACATATTCAAATAAATATTAAAAATTATCTAGCAAAAATAGCCTTGCTCTGGCCTATAATATGAAATAAAATATTAATTAAGAAAGTCAAGTAAATTATAGCAATTCGAAAAAAAGACCCATTTTCAAGTTCGAAAGTAATGAACATTTTAAAGACTACAAAAAATATTTTAGAATATCCAGTTTTCAAGATTGTAAAGAGAAAGGTCATCTTCAATGTGGGTGGGTTTCAATAAAGGTTTCTCCAAAAATATGTAATTCTGACATTATATGTATTGAAAATATAAATGAACATACATATCTTTATGTTCTATCTACGTTCTACAGCCTCGCTAAACTCACATCTTACAAGTAACTTACTACAGTCGGTGTATATACACAAGGTGTTCATTCATTATAATTATTTGTCAAACCCATCCCAGTACGTATTATCCCAAAATGAAGAAATTCGACACCAATTGTTCGCCAAAAGTTGCACCAATTTCATACCTTCATATCTGATCCACTTTTTTGCAATTCTTCTTTATATCACATTCAATTGAAAACACCTACGTCGGTAGAGTTTATTCGATCGATTTCTCATGCGCCTTACGAAAATGACAGCACAAGCGCAGCTGACTGGTGACAAGCGGTAAATTCAAAAGAAGTAGAAACAAACGAAGAACACAATGCACTTTGCGTCAGTTTCTTTGCCATTTAACTCGTGCAATGCCATGGCGTGAACGTAGTTAGGCGGGAACACTAATTGAGGTGTTATTCGCTTACTGTCTCTTATTTCATTTCTGAATAATTTCTAACCAACCTCTCAGAATATTTTGAAGACATTTCCAATTTGTTCCTGCAGTTACTACAGGATATTCACGATGACAACGTACGGTGATGTGCACCGTCGATTTCTTCAATCTTTCGTGTATCATCCTATTAACACAGAGGCAGAAGCTCTTGAAGCCTATCGTCTTACTTGTGAAGAGCAAGGTTCGTTTATTAATTTTAATATATGTGTTCATTTGTCGTAGCTTCATCGAGACAATTTTTGTTATAGGACAAGAAATGGGCAGCTTAAATCAAATAGTAGACACTATAAATGCTACGATAAGAAAGTACACTACATTAGAGATTAAAACTATTTTTTGTGAATTAACTGGTCAAAAGTACTATATTGCTACAAATACTGCTGATTTAAAATGGACAAAGTAAGTTCTCACTATTTTCCTGAGCAATAATGTATCCTTTGCAGCATTGTGTTAAATTTGAATATTATTATTGTGCAGAAATACATCACGATACAGCAAGAATGAGCAACTAATCTTTAGAAAAGTACTTGATGACATTGTAAGGTCTGAAACTGGAAATATTTCATCAATTACATGCCTCAATGTGTATTCTAATGTAAACATGTCAAAGAGTGAAATGTCTGCAACTATTGCTAAGTTTGTAAGAGACGGTTGGTTTGCTGAAAAGGTAAGAAATATGCCAAAATCATGCATTGTAATGTCTATAACAAAAGCCTCATATCAGAATCTGCATCAAGTCAATTAAAAAACTCATTTCTTTGTGATGTCTTTTTATTCATTCCCCAAAATAAACTTTATAATTGTCATATTCAGAGAAATGAAGATGTGAGAAAATTTTTATATTACTGGTACTCAAAATCTTGATGTAAAATTGTTCTTTTGGTATGAATTTCTCATCTTACACAGAGATTGGAGGAAATTTATGGATCAAAAGTGTCCTTTACTTCAAACTACTTCACCCCAAAAAGTAAATTAAATTTATATAGTAGTAATTAATCAAATATTTCATTCTTAGTTGTTTAAAACCAATATTAAAGGTATTGAATTCAAAAGGTATTGTTAATGCTGTGCCTAGTTAACATAATGAATTCTATTGCGGAACAAACTTTTCTAACTGCCTGCTGAAAAATTAAGTTGCAAGTTGCAATTGTTATTTAAAGAAACTTATCGACAAAAGGATTTAAATGTTTTATTTTTTTAACAAATTTACAGATTTCAAGATTTTGTGTTTGTTATTCATACTTCAAATTTATCTAATATTATCTGATGTTGATTTTGTTTGGATGTGAAAATTTACCTATCGTGAATTTATATTATTGAATTCTTCTAGTGTTTCATGAGAATCAGTTTTTCTAAACTTATAAATTAGCTCATTTGTTTTCAAGAATATTTTGTTAATGAAACTGGTATTTGAAATTGAAACTGGCCTGGAAAATGAATGCATACCACAAAGTGAAAACTATCTATATTAGTTTTTAAGAGTGACAGAATTGTTAACAAGCACACCTCTCAATGGAAAAGCAAATATCTGTGTATTAGAATATAGAATTTCATGACTATTAAAGGAAATATCTGTTGTTACATTGCACAAATTTTGTAATTGTATTTTACGTGTGTGAAGAAACGGAATAATCTCCATTTCAATATTTTTCAATTCATTTATCTTAAAGAAAGACAGTTAAGACTATATGATAGGAGAGAGAAAGTAGAATGCTTTTTATAAGGGTTCTTAGTTTGAAAGAGTGAAGTTTCACCAAACAGTAGTTTGCAGCATGTGTGCTTTTTTTTTTTGAGTGCTTGTTGTTGTCAATATTCATTTTGGGATGATGAAATTATGACTAATTCCTCTAGAACTGTTTGTGCTTCTTTTTGTAGAGTTTGTTATGTCCTTGCTAAAAATAATGTTCTTGATGTCTGGTATTAGGACTCTTTTGTTGTTTTGTTGAGTCAAGGGCACATTGGTGTATAAAAGAAATAGTTAAGGTCCTAATAGTAATGATCCTTGTGGTACTCCATAATTTATCATTCAAAGTTGGGGGAAAATGGGTTGAAATCTTTTTATCTCTAACATACTTGATTGCTAACACTTGACAATGATTTGAAAGGTAAGAATTAACTCGCTTATATGCAATGCCACTAATTCCCTAAGTTTCAAGTTTTGAAAACAGTAGGAGATGGGCAATTCACTCTCGAGTAATAGAACAAATTTGTATTAGCAAACAAACCGCAGTTTTATACTATTAGTAACAAAATAAAAACTTTCTGCAGCTAGCAAAAAAAAACAACAACTGAGTTAACTTATTGCTGGTGTCAGTGATTCTGCAGTGACTGACTGGGAAGTTCTGAGGTTTGATTCTCGCTGTCTGATTTTCGACATTAGCTTTATAGATAGATCAATGTCTGGAGGAGAATTCTATTGATGAGCTGTTCTGTGGTTTCTGCAATCAATGCTAGGTGAATGCTGGAGAGGTAATCTAAAAATCAGGCTACTGTGCGATCTTGCCCTCCTCTTCCTTGGCCTCTTCCCTTTTACATACACACACTTACATTTTCATGCACAATGTTATTACACATGTCCAGAGACCAGCTGGGACTTTAGTCGGGACTTTGTCCCAGCTGGAGCAGTGCCCAACTGTATGAGATACCTGAAGTGGTAAATTACTTGTAGGTTGGTGCCGGATCTCACTATTCAGCAGGAGAGAAACACCGGCACCTCCCACAGTGAAACAATAACCACACTATCAATACTAATGACCACAGCAGTTGATGTGCTTGGAAATATCAATCAATTGATCAATGCTATTATCAAAAAGAAAGCTCATCAAAATGTGTGCATAACAGATCTACATGAGAAACTAAGTAAGGGAGCCATTTCTGCATTTGCTCAATGAACCAAGGGAAACTGAATGAAAAACATTATTGAGATGGGGATCATTGACTTGATGGCAATGTGTTGTAAAATAATGTAAATGTACTATTAAATGTGGATTTCTTAATGTGAGATGTTGATACTGGCATGTAATAAATATTGTCAGTTATCTTCTACATATTTAAAGGTTTCTTTTGTTGCAGAAGGGGCGTTTGTACATGGGTGTACGTGCAGCAGCAGAGTTGGAGCCATTCATAACACAAGTTTATCAAGATATGACAAGTTCTTGCCCACTGTGCAAAAAATTGATTTTCTGGGCAAGTATTTACATTTTAATGTAGATGACACATGAGCATGTCTATGTTTTTAGGGTGGCTACAAGAAATCAATGATCAAAATTTCTTTGAAAAAAAACCCTAAAAATTTACCAATTGGTGCATTACAATCATGATCAAAATTTCTGCTCAATCAAATAACAGTGTGATGCGTGCAATCAGCTCTTGAAGAGTTGAAAAAATGTAGATTTTCTCTGAAAAATGTTGTGGGTGCGTTGAGGCAAAGGGGTCCGTTATAAAATAGAAACAATGTATCTTATGAAAGTGTTTTTTTTCTTTAGTTTTGTTGCCTGTACCTGGCATCAATTTGCTTGAAAAATGTAATCTTAAGATGTAAGGCTTTTTCATGTATATTAGTATAAGTGAAAGTTGAAATCAGGAACATTCACTGCAAATTAAAAAAATCATTCCTTCAATAAATGGCTTTGATCATATAGTAAAATTATCCCTGAATTTTTTACAAAAATAGTTGGTTTATAATACTATATTGCTGAGAAGCAGGCCTTAAATTTAGTCAATTGAGCTCAAAACTGACTAAAAAATTTTTGACATAGATTTCCTTTAATGCCATAGTGTTTATTTATGCACGGGTGTTTTTTGATGCCCTTAAAATTCCCCTTTTGTCCTAAAATTTTAAAAATTTGTTAAAATCTTAAATATTGAATTCGAGTAGTGAAAAAAAAGAAAAAGAACAAAGGAGATGTATCCAGGAATTAACACATTTGTTTAAATTAAATTTCCTAATTAAATTTTTTCAACATGTAAAACAAGAGGGGCAGATAAATATGTAACAACCAGTCATATCACATTGAAAATAGCCCTCAAGAAATGCAAATGCAGTGTTTGTTTTGGCTATGATTTACTTATCTTTTATGCAAGTATTTAAGTGACAAATGTAATAGTTGGGCAGTGTATTAAATCGTGTGATAAATGATTTAATACATAGTGAAAGTTTTGTACCTTCCCAAAATAAATTTTAATGAACCAAAGTAAAGAGTTGCCAATGACAATGCCGAAAAACATTCCTTGATTCAGACATTTCAATTTTTTATAGGGACATCGCTGTGGGAGTTGCCCAGAAGTGAGCCACCTGCACTGTCTGAGAAAGTTCTTTGCTTCTACCAGTGGCGATGCAGCGTGCCCAGCCTGCAGAGCGAGGTGGCACAATTGGGATGAAGACTATCTCAGTGATATGGAAGAGAGCAGTTGAATGTGAACATTACATCCCTGGACTCTTGAGAACTCATTTTCTAGTAAAGGTTAAAAAACTGGCTTGCTGTGGAAGTGCTTGAAGATGAAACAATGCAGCAAACAATACATTTCATATCGTTTTATTTTAAATCCAATACTTTAGTGCCACAAAATTGACATATGTTAATATTAACAATTTTTTTAATAATATGTTCACTAATTGTTTTAGGACTTTTTATTTTTGAGTCACCTTTTACCTGTTTTCAAATGAAACATGACAAGATTATGAAAATTAGGAGATAAATTATGTACGAGTGTAAAATACCTTTTTTTCTTTGCCATATGTAAAGTATCTCAATAAAGTATTATTGCTTTTTATACTATTTGAATGTTGAAGTATTGTCACCCAGCTCAATTCTCAATCAATACCTTGTGCATGCATCCTGAGGTGAATCGTGCATATGACTTAGGCAGTCAGCCGGAAAGGGATGCAGTGTGGAGGTGTTATTTTCTCCCCCAGAGCAAGAAAGACTCATGCATGTTGCAAAGTAGCGAATTTGAGTTATGAATTTCATGACAAATTTAGCTTTTATGATAAAATACAGTTGTAAATGTTAAGAGAATGGGTATTCAAGAAAATATTTTCAGAAATAACTAATTTGAAATTAGTGAGAAAGTAAAAAAGATGAACATCAGTTGGAAGAATATATGAGAGCAGCGAGATAGAAAATAGAAAGTATGGAACAAGCTTCATTCAATGGTCGTCAAAGAATGAATTTTTCATTT